TAATGTATTATGAGTTCGTATGCGCTTTCGAAGTTTGCCTTTTGCAATGGTTCACCATTCACGGTATATGTATGTATAGTGGTATAGTGCATTGATTCTCACCAATTACGGCAGCAGTCGGTGGCTTAGCGTATCGACTAATCTTTTAACGAACACAGAAACAGAAATAGAGAAAAACAAGGTTTAAAGAGATTTTAGTGCCGGGATCGTGAGACGATCTGCGGCCACCGGCGAGAGGGAATGTCAGACTCGTACTGACTAAGGACCACCCCATTCCTCAGTAATCCTACAGTATCGAGCCTTCTCCCCGGTAGCCCGTTAAGTTCTTCTTAGCTAGCATGACTGCTTTGCAGAAGAAGGAGACGGCATCCCAATCTCCTTCGCTCCGCACCATGGTCTGAACCAGCGTCGGACGCGAGAAATTGCCGACGCCGATAAATCTCAAGAATTTATCAAGGACACGGCGCTGCTCATCCTATGCAATGTAGTCCCTATTCATTTACATAAAAAATTAAGATCTAATATATAACGTAGCGTAATTCTGTTTGGCGTAATTAGCAGCCACCGCCCGCGATCGTATATCACGTCTCAATTATATCTATGTTTAACTCAGACGTCAATAAAACTCCCACCCTGTAACTTGAACGCGTTTTACTAAAATAATATTGGTTTCAAATATCTTTTTGTTACGTATCTGGACAATACTTTACTTACAGGTATAAAAAACCTTTTCATTCTTACATGTTTTTTTTAAGGGGGGAAAGTCATCGAATGACTGCTCCCGCCTAGGCGGGAGGGAGTGTCAGACTCTTACTGACTAAAAACCACCCCGTTCCTTCTCCTGCACGTCGAGCCGGAGCCCCGGTTACCCGTTAGGTTCTCCGCGACTTCAAATCGGCATCAGCCCTGTGGGGCCCCATCTGTGGTGGTCTGATGTACACTCACTTTTGAAAATTATAATGCTTCGACTCTATTTTCGATCACTTCGTCTCTTCAATTCTTCAACCTACTGGTGCCTATCATATGTTTTAAACGAACCTTTTAGAATTATTTTTCCAAATCAACAATCAAAAGGACGTTGTTGCTTGACCGTCGCGCTTGCAAAGATCAAACGCTGTAATGTCGATAGTTTTCGAAGCAATTAATGAGGTTATAAGAAACTAGAAACTTCCTACTCTTCCTAGACAATAGAAAATCTACATACGGTAAAGGGTAGAATTTAATAGGGCACCGGAAATTTACTTTCTCAGTAGTCTACTCTGGCTGTGACACTAAACGAACGCACAGAGGTACTGAAGTTGCATTGATAAATAGGACTTTATAAAAGAATATGTGATTGTGATTCGTATTTATTTACCATAATGTATTTTATTTGTGTCTTTTTATTAGGCTTAGTCTTTAAGTAATGTTGTCAGCCTGCATTAATAAATGTAATTAATTAATATTATGTAGTTAATACGTAAATGTATTCAAAATTCTAATGGTTAAGTTACCTATAGCGTTGTTTTCCCTCCAATATGTTAAGCATAGAATAATTTGAAAACAAATTTTATTTCGAGATGAAAAAAATGCTGTCTCGTTGGCCGTAAGTGCGACTGCCGGGCAAGGGGTCTCGGGTTCGATTCCTGGGTCGGGCATAGTATTACTGGGTTTTAAAAAAATCTCAGTAGTAGCACGGAGTCTGGAATTGTGCCCGGTATATGGCAATAGGCTCACCCCCTATTACTTGGGACTCATAACATAATTAGTGGAAAGTGGGTGTTACTTCTATGTGCACCTCTGCCTACCCCTTCGGGGATAATAGGCGTGATGTTATGTTATGTATTCAAAACACATAATAATATAGAAAGCAAGAAAGAAAGAAGAAACAAAGAAACGCCACACAAACAACCCATGGAACGTCGCAGCGCAAAAGACTGGAGTTCAGGTATACTATGGCCCGGGCACGATGGCTCAAGTCCACGGCGCTTGAATCAAAACATAAAGAACTAAAATTAGTAAGAACTGTGCGGTCTACTATCGATTGACAAAATTAAAATAGAATTTGTTAAAATACCGAACTCTCGAGCACAATTTCTACCGTGACATTTTTCGACATTTACAGAAGCATTTTCTACCTGAGAACAATGCTTTTACACATTTCAGTATAATTTACCGTAACAAATCCTATACTCTTGGAAAAAATTCATTTTTGAGTGTGAAGTGGCACTAAAATCCTTATAAAGGTTCTATTTTTGCTTTCATTATCAGTTCGTAATAAGAGTAATGCAGTATGAGCGTTTAGATTTCAAAATTTCTTTAATATTTGTTCTTGTACCTACTTAATATTTGAGTATGTTTATATGGAGCTGATTGTAAACAGATACATGCGTACTGCCGCCAGAACGGGACCCTCAAACTGTTGTGGTTCTTTCCTCAAAAGGCGACTACAGAACAAACTTGCATGGTTCTCATACCTAATCTATATAATAAAGTAATACTTAAAATAATACTAATATAATAAAGCTAAAGAGTTTGTTTTTTGTTTGTTTGTTTGTACGCGCTAATCTCCGTAACTACAAGTCTGATTTGAATTATTCTTATTGTGTTGGGTAGCGCATTTATCGATGATGGCTATAAGCTATAAAACATCACGCTACGACCAATAGGAGCTGATCAGAGCGTGTTAAACCGCGCGGAAGTAGCTAGTATTTTATACATATTTTCTGAACTTTAACAGAGACGGACCTTTGAGCTTGTTTCGACATTTCTTCTTAGAGTAGTCAGTTAGGAAATGTCGACCTCACCGTTCGCTTAATAGAACCTACGTGTAAAAGTGCTACATTGTAGCCTATTTGTTGAAATTAATTTACTTGTTTCACTTTTTTTTTCTAATGATTCCATATAAATATAGCTTCGGTAATTACTTCCTTTCCTTTTCTTAATTTGAAAAGATCAAAGAATGAAGAGTTTTGTATGCAATCGTCAATCCAAAAACACATTTGGTTCAATCGAGTACCTATCGGATATCCTGATAGATTGACAAAGCATTATCCTTTCTATAATAAGTAAGTATAGACTACCTATCTATTGTTAGACCTGAGAGACTGCAGTCACAGTGCTGTCTGACTTTACTTTAGACCTGACCGAGGACCGAGGAGGTGACACCTTCACTAATGGCTTCTAGAAAGTTCCTTCAAGTTAAATATAGATAAACTACAGTCCCTCCCTAGCCACACTAATAGACGAAATCTTTTTTCTCTTAATCTTTAAGTAACTCATTTAGATGGGTTCAATTCATGCTGTTTATATTCAGTAATTTTACATTAATCATAAATATTATGAGTACCTAATCGTACTTATTTATAATTGTATCACATACGAAAAATATTTTTGGATTTCATTTTTAATGTTTTCATGTATAGAACTAGCTTCCGCCAGCGACTTCGTACGCGTAATCCCATTTTTTCCCGTCCCCGTTCGTGATTTTCGGTAAAAAGTAAAAAAAAGTATTGGTTGAAAAGTATCCTATGTCGGTCTCCTGGCTCTAAGCTACCTCCCTACCAATTTTCAGCCAAATCTATTCTGCCGTTCTTGAGTTATAAGTGGTGTAATTAACACGACTTTCATTTATATATATAGATTTGAACAATAGAATATACACCTAAAACATCAAAATCAATAATTAACATAACGCCTTTTATTTCCGAAGGGGTAGGCAAAGGTGCACACATACAGCCCTTAATGCCAATGTACAAATTAACACCCACTTTTCACTATTAATTATCCTATGAGTCCCATGTAATAGGGGGTAAGCTTATTGTATTGGCATATACCGGGCACAATTTCAAACTCCGTGCTCCTATTGAATTTTGTTTAAAACCTAGTATTACTTTGCCCGACCCGGGAATCGAACCTGAGACCCCTTCCCCGTCAGTCATACTTGTGACCACTTGACCAATGAGGCAATTAAAACATCGTAAATAAAAATATAACAGTAATTATCTTTCTAAGATTATTCAGACATCACTGACAAACGGTGAAGGAAAACATCGTGAGGAAACCTGGGCTTATAATTTCTAATTATAAGTTTGTAATCGCCAACCCGCATTGAGCAAGCGTGGTGATTAATGCTCAAACCTTCTCCGTGTGAGAAGAGGCTTTGCTCAGTAGTGGGCATTTATAGGCTGTTGATGATGATGATGATGAACTAGACAGCGGCCAGACTTAGTAATTCAGTAGTTCATTAGAAGACAGTACTTACGTAGTACTGTAAACTAAATATTTGATTCTACAGTTGTAATGACGTCATTAGTGTTGAAAAACCAGATATTCAGTAGTCCCTTAAAGTGAGGTAAGTCATTAGAACAACAGAATCAGCTTCTTTAGCAGAATATGTTCCGTAGTAGTTTCACTAAGTTTCTACCACGAAACTAAAATAAGACTTAGCATTATTAAGTAGCTTTCACGAAATCGCCCATCAAAGCCATTTCTTAGTCAGTCACTCAGTTAGTCAGTTAGTCACACATTATACCTATGGTACTACCTACTATGGTTTATTTACACAAATAATATATACAATACGTTTAGATAAAATGAATCAAAGTTTAGGAGTGGGGGCTTAAACGTCATTTCTACCTATAAAGTGTACATAGAAGTGACGTCACGCGACATTTCAAATCAATATATCGTCGAAAGTATTCGTTTCTGTAAGAAAATAAAAAATACTTGTCTAATGTTATAAAATAATCTACCAGACGTATATTAAAATAAAAATTAGGCATCTACCGTCGTCACCCCGCTCTTCCTGTGGGTTTCTTAAGATCCAAATAAGTGACTTGCATATTTGAATGAATACTTATAATTTAACTCGTCATTTTTAAATGTGGTTTTTAACCCTCTTGGGTACCCAGCATTGAGATTAGGCAAACTATCTTTTGCAAAGGAGGCTCAGAGCTGTTCAGTGGACTCTGAGAGGTTGTTGATGATGATCAATATAATAGAAGAAGATTTGTACTGACCTTCTTTTCCAAGGTAACTGATGTTCGTCACGCCGTTGGGTCCTAGATCGGTCCCGGTTCGATTTCCTTGTGGTCGTTTTCCAGATAGTTCTTGACCTCTAATACCGATCAACTCGGCACGATGTTCGTCTGCTTGTGCCGAATGTCCTTTAAAAAATGAGGGATTAATAAACTGTTTGAGAAAATCGGACTAATTTTTACTTGTCTACATTTAGTGAGTGTTTGACAGAAATGCCCTTGATTATAATTATAATGTCTAGATAGAGCGTCACCATACAATAGCAACAAAAATGACGTTCCAAAATTACTTGCATGTGTGCGTGCGGCTTATGGTTTACACGGATCAAAAATGATACCAGCTATGACAAAAATTTTCCCATCAAATTTATATCTCCCATAAATATTTGGGTATATGTACCAAAACATTTAGAAGTAAAATAAAAAATTTAACTATCTCTTTGAATTTAATTTTAAAATTTTGTTTTATTGTACATTCGTTGACATTTATAGTTTGTCATACAAGTTGTTTAATTTCTAATCTTTTTTAAGTATAATCTATATATATCTATAAAAGAAAGTCGTGTTAGTTCCACCACAGTTACACCGACATAGGATACTTTTTAACCAACATTTTTTTTTTTTACTTTTTACCGAAAATCACGAACGGGGACGGGAAAAAATGGGATTATGCGTACGAAGTCGCGGGCAGGAGCTAGTTATACATATATTCATATTAAGACATTTTTACCATGATTTCTATTAAATTAATTTATTAAAAAAATATTAATGCAGATGCACCTTTTCCGTCAATAAATATAGCTTAATCGATTTAATCATTTCAAAATAACTGTAGAAAGTCCAAGCGAACCTTTTTCTTTTAGTCGGTTAGAATAAATTTATTTTGTAGCGTACATGCACGTAGTGACGCCTAGGTGACATGATTGGTACTACTTGACGGGAAAGTGCATTGCAGTGAACAGTTCACTGCGAATTGAGACGCTTTTCGTGAACTGACACTCCATCTAGACATTATATAATCAAAGGTTACACTTTTAATCTTTGAAGGGCCCAAAATGATGGACATTTTTTATATTTTATACCCTTTGCCCATTAATAGTTTTGTGTATAATCCAATGTATTATATAATAGGGGATCCGACTTTGTTTGGGTATATTATAACATATATTGTTTGTACTTTGTATACACTGCAGCAGGTCTATCCAATCTGATATAATATGTGTACCTACAGACTAATCTTTACACAGTACCTGCCTGCGAAAATAGGAATAAATTAAACAACTAATATTTCTTAAATAAACTTTATTAAAAATTCTGCTTTCTCCTTGAATATGGATCAAACAAGGGATCAAAATCTTACCTTGATCGCAGGTGATCAGCCAAGCCAAGCAGGCCAAGAGTAGCATTACAAAGATAATCTGAAACAAAGTTGAGTGATACATACAACGTTATACATACTTATGCAATGTAACAACTACTTTTCACCCGTTATGTGTAGGTCTCCTGTAATGAGGGGTGAGTGTTTCTATACTGAGTATAGCAGCCAGCGGCCCAGCTAGGGTATTCGGTAACTTTCAATTCAAAAGGTCGAAATGCACTCGATTGCAATTCGCCATGTCTTGGGTTATAAGAATAATCCCGACCAATAACGGGCGAGAATGCGATCGAGCAAATAAGATTGACATCTTACGGAAGAACCTCACTAGGCAGAATTGAACTACTGGAAAATATCGAAATTACAAAATATCCAATAAAACTTTATTAGACTCTAGAGTATCGAATACCCGACCAATAATTTACAAATTAGCAGTAAGCTTCGATCATTACATGACTAGTATTCGGCTGTAGGTACATCTATATTTCTTCGTTTACTTTTTTGCAAATTTCGCTCAAGCGGCCGAAAGACGGCAAGACGACGATTTTTTTTATGTTATTTTGTTGAGTTACATCTTTTTCGCTATCAGTAAAAGTTTTCGCTTAGTTGTCGATTTTCAACAAATATCCGAACCTCGGACGTCTGCTAGCGGAGCGGCGGAGATGGAATTCAACAAATGCAAAGTAAATAGGTAACATAACATAACATCAGCACCAGCAGGTATATACGTACCATGTATAATGTGTACTTACTTAAGTAGTTTTATGGCCTCTTAAATAATTACCATTATGCAATCATTATATTTACGTAAGGATTGCCAAATAACAGATTTCGAGATGTAAATAAAAATGAGTTTTAACCGAAAGGTCTGTTTTGGTCAAAACTATAAAGGTATTTAAGTAGGACTTTATTCCCGTGTGGTGTGTCGTCACAACCAAAAAATTTTTTAGTTTTCCATGTCGATACTTCTCAGTAATAGCATAAGGTCTTGAAGGGACACCGTTTAATGACAATATACTCGCTGCTTATATAATTATTCCTTACCTATTCGGAGATCAGAAGCCGTAGGTAAGGTTTTAAAACCGAACAATTCATTCGTTAAGTAAATTGTTTGCTTTTTATCTACCGTATCTACGGAAAGCTTTCCGCTTAGCAAACGCTATGTTTCGCTGGTTAAAAAATCAAACGAATATACTTCTTCGACAGTTACAATACGTAAACACAGTTATCCTCTTCGAGTCAGTCAATAAACCGGTTTACAGGTATTGTGATACCAATAAATCCAATATCGTTTCCACTGAGGAGATAGACAGCCAATTAATAGGAGGGTGCCTAAATCAATTAGGCACAAACAGGGTACCCTATCTCCATACCCTCTAATCCCATACAATTCGGGAGAACTTGTTGTTACAGTAAGAGCTTTAATTAGTGTCAGAGTCCTCAACACGCTTTTCTAGGAACTATGCATGGTCTAGTTTAGTAGAACTAGTTTTCTATACTTAAACTTAAAAAAAATCCATTAGTAGTCGACGAGGATTTTGACCACAATTCAGTACAAAACAACTCTGTGTTAATGGTAAGTGTACAACCTCGCGTTTCTATTTTCTCCTAGTTTTTAATGGATTTTATAAAACAAAGTTACTGCTTGTGAGTTTTTGCATTATAATGTAATTGAGTATGGGGCGTGTGGTGACGCCAGTTACACATTTGTCTGGGACTAGATTGCAGCGTTCATATTGCGGATATCTATCGATATCCGGATAGACCATAAATTAACTATAGGAAGCCTATGTCCAGCAATGGACGGAAATCAACTGATTATGAAGATGATTTTTGGTATCATTTTTATGGCATAAGCCGGTAAACGAGCAGACGGATCACCTGATGGTAAGCAATCGGCGTCGCCCATGGACACCTGGAACACCAGAGGCGTTACAAGTGCGTTACCGGCCTTTTGGGGAATTAGGAGTTTGAGAATCTTTGGGGATTCAGAAATTGGGGAGATTGGGGAAGGGGAGGGTAATTGGGCCCCCGGTAACCTCACTCACACGACGAAACACAACGCAAGCGTTGCTTCACGTCGGTTTTCTGTGAGCCGGCCCATTCGTGCCGAAGCATGGGTCTCCCACACTTTAAATTCGTATCGTAAGTTTATTGTTGTGTCATATAGGTATGTACATGTAAGTTTATATAAGGATTTATTTTATGTAAGTCTATACTATTCTTTTTTTATGTTTTTTTCATAGATCTTGAATACGCTTGCTTTTTGCATCGACTATTGTTTGGTCTCTGCATCACCTAAAGGTCTGGCTGGAGGAGAATGCCCATGGCATTAGGCCCACCTTGTCCATGAGTGTGTGTATGAAGCCTTTAAAAAATATACATATAAGATATAACCCTAATGATAGTACGAATAACCTTTTTTGGATTTGTAATTTTTTTTCTGTTATACTTTTCTTGTATTAATTACTAAACGAAGAAAGCTAAGCATATCTAGAGGTATGTAAAATAAACTACAATTTATTAGTTAATTCGTTTCTTTTGTTAGAACACGACATGTAATTCAGCTCACTACATATATTTGCCAAGATTCGCTTAATGAGACTGCATGCACATATAATACATCATTCGCATGAAAGTTATTGCCTTTTAAAGTGACGTCACAGAAAAAAATAGTTTTAATAACATTGTAGTGCCAGCTGAAATCGATTCATTACTAATGTTTGAGACTACATCAATCTAAACTGATCTTTATATCGTTCAAGCTTAAGTTTTTTATGTTAAAATTAACTAAGTCCAAAGAACTGCACCTGTCAATCAAGTGGTCACATGCGACTATTCTCAAAGGGAACAATTACCAGATCACAAGAAGATGATTGGAGTTTGTTTGCTACTAACTATTGCAGATCCACTGCTGGCTCATTCGATGAAGAGTCATCGCATGGTTGAGACATACAACGGTGAGTTCAACGGGAATGCTATCCTTTTTTTGAGTAAAAATGTTTTTAAGAGGCAAATTCGGAAATCTCTTAGGGATCGTGTGCAATGTGTGTACGGAATTGTAAGAATTGTTAAATCATTGTTTTTGACCATTTTAATTATTCGCGTAAGTGGTGCATCGTCAATATATGAAAGCTGTTGTCTTGTTTCACATTAGATTATTCTATTTGAATAATGTGCCTATCTATGTTTGTGTTACTCTGGATCTAATATTAAAGTAAGCTGTGGAAAACGAAGTGAGTAACATAATTTGTAATGTGTAAGCTGAATTATGTATATGTGTTTTCTGTTTGTTTTAGCCTAATACCTAAATAAATATTTAATCGTTGATCCGTCTGCTCGTTTACCGGCTTATGCCTTAAAAAATACAAATGTGTTGGCACAACACTATAGTGACGCCATTGATTTACTCATAAAATTTGCTCTTAGTCTAACCGCCATACAAAGTTATTTAATGGTTATTTAACCGAGTCCTTAACAATTGTTTTTGGATACAAATCATTGCTAAGCAATTAGTTAAAATCACAATTAAATGCCTGTGGCTCATTAAATAATTATTCTATTTGTTTGACTGTCTCGTCTGTCGAGTGGCCGAAAGTGCGAGTCGCGAGTCAGGCAAACGACGACGATTTAGAAACACCTTTGTACCCTTTAGGTAGTCGCGGAGAACCAAACGGGTTACCGGGGCTCCGGCTCGACGTGCAGGAGAAGGAACGGGGTGGTTTTTAGTCAGTAAGAGTCTGACACTCCCTCCCGCCACACCCAGGCGGGAGAAGTAATTCAATGATTTTCCCCCCATAAAAAAAGCGTTAGGTAGGTACCTTGGGTAAAATAGTGTAACATGAAATCAGGAGTTCTAGAAACAACTAATTGTTTGTAAAAACATACGTGAATAATTGATTCAATAACAAAAATCCATTAACGTCAGTTTTCGAATTGAAACAAAACATACTGTAATTATTAATTGAATAATACAAACTGGGCTTGTTACACATTGAGTTTATTTTCAACCACCAATCGCCGACGTCCACGTACTTGATTAAATAATTAGGCATCGAATATGGGAACGTACAGCTGTTGATACCTAGGTATACCATTAATCAATGGTGCATTTTGTAATAAGGCAATTTAATTTCCACGAACCTATTTTTTTGCAAGGCGATATAAATCCTCTTTGACTACCCACGACGTGGCGAACTTTTATCGGCAAAAACCACCGCGGTGTTTCTCTTCTGTCTGTGGCCGTAAACCAGGACGCCCTTGGCGGATTCACCACACCCGGCAGACCCCGACCTACCGCTACATTGCGGCAGGTCCCCCCACGTTTTTGAGGGGGGAAATTATCCGATGCCTTATCGCCCGTGTGAGGCAAAAGTGAGAGTCAGACTCTTACTGATTAAAAACTACCCCATTCCTACTCCTGCACTTTTAGCCGGAGCCCTGGCAACCCGTTAAGTCCTCCGCGGCTCAGTATCGACATCAGCCCTATTGGGCTCCATCTGTGGTGGTCCGATGGCTCTTTGAGGCGCGCGCGGAACGCGACGCGCCGTACGCTCGGGTCTGTTTCTGGTCAGACGGGGAGCCACCCATGCTCGCCGTCCGCAGGCCGCCTCCCCGGAGATCGTGCGGTATCCGCGGATCATTCGGATCGCCATGACCCTCTGTGACATGAGCAGCGTCCGAGCGGGACGCCGCAGCATTTTCGGCGCCCACACAGGGGCGCCGTAGAGGGCCATGGACCGCACGGCCCCCGCCTGCAGGCCTATGGAGGTCGCAGATTGGATTTGCACGAAGCCTTTATTAGTTTTACTCTACTAACAATTTTATTGAGCTACATAATCTAAATGTTTTCTGTTAAATTGAAAACCTAGTGTTGTTTATTAATGAATAAAATATGTGCGGAACCTCAACAGGTTATTAAAAATACATAGGATGTAACTATGGCTTATGTATTTGTTACTTCATTCACTTGTTGCTGCTCCGCTGTCTGTTCATATTGTGTTATTTCGACGATGAATTTAGTTTTATGAATGCAGGGACAAT